GAAACATTTAACAGTGAAACTTGCCGGTGGTGGTATCATACTTTTGGGGCGATTTTCTTCATCAGGGACAAAAAAATAAATAAAATGTTGAGAGTTTAAGGAAAGAAAAATGGAACAACAAACAAGTTTTGCCTTCTTTTCATCGATTGCATACAGACTGTTTCCAATGAACTGCTGTATGTGGTTTTAACAAGAAAAGTTGGATACATAGAAAATGTGTCTAAATCCTTATGCAAATAATTGCAAAGTCTAGTAGGCATGTCACCTATTTCATAACATAATCCCTAAAATTAAGACATAACTAAGATCAATTTTTTGTTAACTTTTTAACACCTTGATGCCAATTGTTGCAAATATGAAACAAACCCTTTCTATTACAGTATGTACACAGTCAAGAAAGCATGTGAATTCTTTCAATGACAGTTTTTCACACATTACGTGTGGACCTACGAACATTTTGCAAGCTCTCGTTTCCATTACAACTGGTTCCTAACAGTGTATGTTGTCACTGACGGGTATAAAAGATGACACAAATTTGTAATATACCTATTATTCATTTTTCAAATACATTAAAAAATTTACATAGTAAAGAAAAAACTAGTTAGCAGCAAAAGCATTTTTTCTAATATATGCAGTATATATATATATATATATATATATATATATATATATATTAGGGATGGGACGATTTATGAAAACCGTCAGAATCGTTCGGTTCGACTGTCTCGGTTCGGTTCGCGTGTGTTTCGTTCAGTTCATGCGCTGCTCCTTTTTCTCATTGATGCCAGATGCATACAGCCAGATGCATGCATCTGGCTGTATGCATCTGCAGGTTAGAGAGCATGCGCCAGATGATTAAATTCAAAGCAGCAAAACATACGGAAATGATCCAGGGTTTCCGCGGATCATTTAAAATAATTACAATCCATTATTTTTGGGGGGATTTTTTCAGTAATTTCATAATTTTTTATGGAATTTCGGTGTAACAATCAACATGTATCGAATCGAACCGAAAACCGTGACCAGAAACCGTGAATCGAACCGAACCGTGGATTTTGTGAACCGTTCCACCCCTAATATATATATATATATATATATATATATATATATATATATATATATATATTTATGTTTTGAGTACCTCGCTCTCAATCTGCAGGTTTACTAGTGGTTCCTAGAATTTCTCAAAGCAGGGCTTTTAGTTATCAGGCTTCTCTTCTGTGAAGGCAACTACCAGTTTTTGTCCATGAGGCAGACACCCTGTCTACTGTTAAAGTAAGCTTATAGTTAGAGTGGCTCAGCTTATCTTGAGCCATCTCTATAGTTATGCTGCTATAGGCATAGACTGCTGGAGGACATAGGGACCCTTTTTTCTCATTCTGCCTCATTCTATCTTTATTCCCCCACAGAATTTGTTAGTTCACTATATAACTTTATGCTCTCTCTGCTTTTTTCTCGTAGTAGCTTCATCTGGTCTGTTCCTGTGTGGCTGTGACACCATCCTGGAGAGAGGTGTCGTCTGTGCTGCTGCCATCAACCCCTTTGACTGGATTTTCGAACTTTTACTTGTTTTACAGAGTAGTCCTGTTTCTGTGACAGTGACTAACTATATGTGCTTTATTTCATCCTCTGACATTTGAGCTGACTCGGAGCTCGTCTGCCTGGCTGTGTTTCTTGAATGGGGTCACCTGTGGAGCTGGTTGACAGAGGCTAGTTCTGCTGGAGGTTTCTTCCTGTTAAAAGGGAGTTTTTCCTCTCCACTCTCACTACAAGCATGCTTGGTGTGAGGGTTTGCCTTTGAGTCAATGAGTCGATGCAATCAGCTAGTTTTCCTTAGATAAAAACTTTGCATCAGTTTGACTGTATGATCTGGTTGAATTGTCTCTGTCTTGAGATGACATGTTGTAAATTGGCGCTATACAAATAAACTGAATTGAATTTATATACATATACACATATATATGTTCAGGTGGCAAGGGGTTAATAACCATTAGACTGCCATGTATTTTAAATATTCTTTTTTAATACTCAATGGTCCCATTCTCCATTACTGAGCCTCAGCAACTGTTGACACAGTGTACTGTTGCACGACATTACAGGATCCATAATGATAAGCTTAAAGTTGTTCAGTGAGTTGTGCAGCTCCATCCCACTGGCTGGTGCCCACCAACTCCTTTTTTTCCTACCACTGGGTTTTAGGATAATTCATCTCCTGAACTACGTGATCCTGCTTTTTTATCTTTGAGCTCACACATGCTCATCGGCCAAGCCGCAGCCGACACCAAAGAGCTTTTGTAGGCAAAGAAAACTTTGTGTCCCATTACTCTCCTCTTTTGCAGGCAGCATTGCCCCACAGCTCTGACTGCTGGCCTCCCCCAGAAGTCAATCTGTTTCTGATTATGTGTGATCATCCTCAAGCCAGCCAAAAACATTTCAGACCCAAGAGACTCTTATTTTTTTCAAGACAACCTGGACACCATCCAAAGTAAATGCCATTGTAGCTTGTCAAAGGCACCATTTATTATGAGTAGCTAATAATACAATGACAGCAAAAATCTTATTTTAGCTTGCATTTTAAAATATTATATTTGACCTCATGTAACAAATGTTTATTGCATCATCTAATGCTCAGCTGTGTTTGTTTTAACCACTAATTTGCAACAAATATTAATTTCTTTGAGATCATTTAGAAAGAAGATGTCCAGACTGGGTAATAACAGCCCAGATTTAATTTTAATCTGCTGTTAGAATGTTTCTTTTATGACGTAAAATCTTGCAGAAATAAACAAGATTTATGAAACATTACATCCTATTTTGCCATAAATTGTAGCATAGTTAGAATTTGGGGGAAGTGAAACACTTTTGCTTTAGTGTGACTGTTTTTTTGTTTGTTTGTTGTTTTTTTACTCAATAATAAACTGATTATTACAGGGAGATAGTGTGGCGTACTGGTCACGGTCACTGAAATGCTCAGTGAGGAGGTCCAGCTCTCCTGCAGTCAGAGCCTATTCCATGCGTTCCTTAAACTGAGGTGACTGCATAGCAAATCATTGCTTTAATAACTGTCCCGCACTTATGTAAAATCCACTAGACGGGAATAAAAATGGTCTTTGTAAGTTAAAAATCATATGTGAAAGAATGTTTTCATGGTGTTCAAAAATGAATGTATGGTAACGTGTGTTAGTTGCATATTATGTTATACTCAAAAGTAGTAAAGTGACAGTGTGTCCTGAATAATTTTACCAATGAAAAGCACATTGTCAATGGTTTTTCTTGTTTTTAGGATGATTTTGTGGTTCTTATAGCATGTTTCCACAGCATTCGTGACAGAAAAAGGTAAATGAGAAGATATGCAAAGAAAAGAGGCCAAGATGTTAAGTCAAACCCATCATATGTGCATTGAGAACTATACATGGGAATGGGCTATACCACTGAACCACACAATCTGTTTGCATTTACATTGTTTATTATGTTTTAGTCATTTCAAACACTCACTGCTACACCCAGATGTCTAAACTGTAGCGGGATGATGCCATACATTGTCTGTCTCTGTTCTCTTGGCATGAGTAGAACAAGACAGAATTATAGTGGAAAGTGTTCAGTGGCAAAGTGAGACAATATTTCAGCTCACTGTAAAAAAAAAAAAAAAAAAGATAATGGGTTCCATACAGACCAAATGAGGGAACCAGACCATCAAGGCTCTTATCAACACACGGCACAGAGACCAGCCTCTGAGGGGCTCAAGGGATGGGAGGGTATGTGAGTGAAGATACCATTGAGACAGGTACATGATAACATCTGGAGAGACTTACAGTTTACTACCATCTATTCGTCGTCCATTTGGATGAAAAAAAACAACAGTATGGGGACATACTGGTGAATGATAAACTAAACTAGCACTACAATGTAGCCTATAAACTGCTCATACAAATTTACATCTATACAAATCCTGATCATGTCCAAAATCCAAACTTCTCCAACCTTATTTTCTCAACTCTATAGTTTATATCTGTTGATTTTTTGGCCAATTTTTAACCATTTTAAATGTTAAATATATTTTTACAGAATAGCTGACTTAATATGTAAGACCTGTAAAACCCAGAGGAAGTAATCATAGAATAAAGAAAGCAAAAGAAAAGGAGGAAGGAAGGAAGGAAGGAAGGAAGGAAGGAAGGAAGGAAGGAAGGAAGGAAGGAAGGAAGGAAGGAAGGAAGGAAGGAAGGAAGGAAGGAAGGAAGGACACTAATAGAATTAAGAAAGCAAAAGAAAGGAAGGAAGGAAGGAAGGAAGGAAGGAAGGAAGGAAGGAAGGAAGGAAGGAAGGAAGGAAGGAAGGAAGGAAGGAAGGAAGGAAGGAAGGAAGGAAGGAAGGAAGGAAGGAAGGAAGGACACTAATCAAACATTTTAAGTAGCTAAAACACGTTTCTTACCTTGGCAGATGGTTTATATAGTGGTATATTTCCCTGATTTAAATGGATAATTAAAGAAAATCAACATGTAAGAACGACTCTTCTTGACATCATATTATAAAACAAATGTTGCCTAATTGATGGACATCAGCTTAGCTTCTGTTCAGCACATTAAATCATAAATTGTTGCGCTTGACTAAACCTTAATAAAAAAAGGCATTTAAAATTATTAAAATTGGATCTTTATTTTATTGTTTCTTCTACTTTATGGAACTTTAATTCAAACGAGAAAACTGTAGTTTTTATTTGTTTTGTTTGTTTCATTGATTATTTATTCTTCTTATTACTAATGTATGTGTGGTATTTCAGTTCTTGCAGTATAGCAGGAGCCTATAGGATTATCTGTAGCATTATATGGGTTTATCGTTTGTTGATATAAATGATGTTTGTGTAACTTTCGCTCTCTCTAACACACACACACATCCCCCACCTCCCCTGAAGGCTTCCCTGGGTGGAAGACATCACAAAGCGCTCCAGGAGCTCGCAGAAGCCGGCCGCGTCATCGTGTGGATGGGCGGCGCACAGATGGGGAGGACGGAGGGTGTTTTCCAGCTTTAAAAGCACAGGAGCCGGCTACTCTGGCAATCCGCGCTGCGTCATCCAACTGTAGATAGTTCTCCTAAAAAAACACCTTCACTGCTCCAAAGCGGTCCAAACTCACCTCAACACGCTCCAAAAGCTGCCACTCCCCCTTCGATCCATGTATTTCTCCAGCTCATGCTTCACAGTTAATTCATCTTTTTAATTCCGAGCGTATTATGCCTAATGGTTCATAAAGTCAAACTTTGTGTTCTGTAATAACATCGTCGGTAAAGACGTTGTTGCGCGTCGCGCATCCCTTGTTGAATGCAGGATACCTTCAGCCTGTGCGTCAAAGCCAAGTTCAACTTCGGAGCAGCAGCCGGTCAGGAGCGGAGACTCCAGCTTCTCACCTCTACCGCCGCCGACATGAAGTCTGCAGAGGAAGGTAATATTTATCACTTCAAATCAACTTATGATTGAATTAAATAGAAAATGAAACAAAGAAAATCCTGAAAATAATATGATAAAATGTATAATCTTTAACCTTTTTTTAAAGGAAGCATAATGTTTGAATGAAATGTCCTTCACTTGCTGTTCTGTTCCTTTTTATTATCGTTTAACTATAGAAAATGAAACAAAACAGTGAAATAAAATAGGACCAAACAAGAACAAAATAATCACAGCATCTTAAAGTGAGAATCTCAAACTTTCTATGTTGAGACTGCATCCTTGTATATGCATATTATTAGTCCCTTGCAGGTGCATCTCTCATTGTGCAGTTAGGGGTGATTGGGCTGGTTCATTTACCATTGTTGCCATGATAGTACATTGATAGAAGAGCTTATTTCAGGAGCTGTTCTAGTTTCTGATGTTTCCATACCTCTAAGTTGAAGTTGAAATGTAAGTTTTTTTTTCAAGATTACAGTTATGAAAATGTTTTAAGGGATGAAAATATTATTCAACATAGGCTGATCCGAGACATATGCAAACTAAGCAGCCGCTTTACTCTCCTCCAATCTAAGTGACTCCCCTAAGGACAACTTTTGCATTAATCTTTCTTTCTGGAAGCATGATACATAAGTTTTTTCTTGCTGTTTTTTTCAATCAAAATTTTAGTTTTTCAATTGACTTTTATTGTGCAGCTTTCTGCACCATACAGCTACCCTTGACTTTATGTCAGAATCTAATGATACTTATTTTTCTTTTTTGAAATACTTTATATGGATTTATTTGCTTTGATAAAGCAATGTGTTTTCTTCTTTTGTTTTGCATGAACTTCTCCATAGCTTTTTTTTAATCAAAAGTTCAATATTTTTACCTCAAATTCTATCCCAACTAAACAATAATCTTTTTTTAATGCACACAGATGTCACTATAAAATTACATGAAAAAAGTGATTCAGGTTTAAAATCAGAATATGATCTACTTTGTATCTGATATTATGTTTTAGTGTTGAAGTAAAATAAAGTAAAATGAATTATATTGAAAATGGATGATAAACAGGACATATTGGTTGTGTTGTAGTTCTTGATTGCAGCTGGGAACCAAATAGATTAGATCCTGTTTTACATTCAGCCAACTTTGATCTCTTTTTATCAGGATCTCTTGATAGTCTGTTTCGTCTCAATTTTCAGTGCTGATAGTACTGGCTTTTTGTGGATGTTGGGAATTTCATTCAGTCTTTGAGGTTTCATACAGACGGGTGCAGGCCTATTATTTAGTTTGGTCCCGGAGCACTAAGCCTCATAATTGGTAACAGGCATGTGCGTTTTTTCTGTGTTTGCAACTATAAGACAGAGAGCTGTGATCTGTTCTTTGTGGGATGTAGGATAGCCAACTTGACAAGGAGCTATGCCTAACCACATAGAGCTTCAGCTATGTGCCATGAGCCACTAAGCTACAGGAGATAAACCCAGATGTCCACACATACAGATCCTCTCTGTATTTTGCCAACGCTCTTTGCCAGCCATGCACAAAAAAAGTGGCCCCAGGGTTCTCAGTTCCAAAGGCTGGAGTTGACTTCTGTGAGGAACCACATATATCTCACTCTGAAATCATGTCAGTCTGAGCCCAGCCTAGACCACAATCCCTGTGGATAAGCTCCACTATTCTTTAGTCACACTGGTTTTGTTGTGGTAAGAGAATGTTTTGATCATGATAGCGTAATTGAGAGAAATTGTTGTGCACACAAAGAAAACTGTATAATCTGTGTGATAGTCAGAGCACTTTGAAACCATGCTGCAGACAAATGTGGAGGCACTGCTTTGTCTTCAAACAGGGATTTGACTTTTGCTACAATCAGAATTCTCCAAATTCACATTGGTGAATTTGGAGATTTAAGATAAATTTTTCTTAGTTCAGCAGATGTGACGTGCGCGAACCCGGAAAACCCAAGTTTCATGATCATGAAATGTGTAAAAGTGAAAGCCTCAATGTGTTTGAGTGGGTGTTAGGAGACAAGTTCGCTTGCAGCAGAGTGCATAGATTAAACACCTATTTAAAAGAGTAACAGAAAAAAAAAAAAAAACAGCTGCAGCTAAAACCAAAAAGCAGTCAGGCCTGACTTAAGGAGGAGTGTCACAACGGGTGGAGTGGGCAGGGGATCATCATCTGTTTAAACCAGAAAAGAGAGAGAAAAGCATCAGAGAGGACTGAGCTGAGGCACTGGATTTTATCCTGAAAGAGAGGGTTATGACAGAGGCAGAAATGAGTTTTCAGCAAGAAGAGCAAGAGTTTGACTTCAGCTGTGTGTTTGAAGACCATCAAGGTGCGCAGAATGAACCAGACACAGGTGGGTTGTATGAGTTATCCTAAGTTATGGCATACTAGGGACTCTGTTTTCTAGGAAAGCCTTTAAAACTGACATTAAGACGTCTGAAAACTGTCATTTAAAATTTCCTCTCTAAGGTTTCAACAGTGTTTAGCCTTTTTGTCTAAAGGTGGCTACGCCGCAGGTATAGCTACTATATTGAGATGATTCTGAAGTTTCTACAGATGTTTGTAAACACATAATCTGTTAAACTTTATCTCATTTAGGTAATTTTGCATTGTTTCGCTATCTATCTATCTATCTATCTATCTATCTATCTATCTATCTATCTACAGTATCTATCTATCTACAGTATCTATCTATCTATCTATCTATCTATCTATCTATCTATCTATCTATCTATCTATCTATCTATCTATCTATCTATCTATCTATCTATCTATCTATCTATCTATCTATCTATCTATCTATCTATCTATCTATCTAAATGTGTTTTAATTATAGTTTGGGTTTTTGTTTTTCAGATGCATACAACTACACCCCAAACATCAGTCTTCCAATTGGCATGGGCAACCCCTGTCTAACAACGCAGTACCACACCTTGCAGTCCAGTCCTGTCATCCCAGTTTCCTCTTGCCATCAGACTGGCTACAACATTCAAAATGACAACAATGCAGCATCAGGTTATTATCTGCCTCAAAGCTTAAGACCTGGTGGAGCTCCAGCTCTGGAAAGCCCTCGTATAGAGATCACAGCCTATAGCCAATACCCAGAGGATGACATAGAAGCCAGCAGTAGAGAAGATCACATAATCAAACGAGGCGTCAACTCCATTGTAACACTGACGTTGCCAAATGTTGATGGATACCGTGACCCTAGCTGTCTAAGCCCTGCGAGCAGCATATCCTCCCGCAGCTGTAACTCAGAGGCTTCATCCTATGAGTCTGGCTTTTACAACTATGACAATTCCCCTCAGAACTCGCCCTGGCAGTCTCCCAGCGTTTCACCTAGAGGTTCATCTTCACTTCTGTCTTGTCCACATGTCATCGGTCCTGCAGCCTCACCTCACCGTTCACCCTCTAACTCTCCTCAAATAGGAGCTATGGCAGAGGAAGGGTGGCCAACACAACCCCGTGGGTCCCGGCCCAACTCCCCTTCCTGCAGTGGAGTTAGTGGAGGAAACAGTGGTGGTATGGGGAAAAGAAAGTACAGTTTCAATGGCTCCTCTTACCAGCAGTCATCATGCTCCCCCAACCACTCACCCACCCCTTCTTCACACGGTTCCCCAAGAGTCAGCGTCACAGACGAGAACTGGCTTGCCAACACCAACCAGTACACCAACTCAGCCATTGTAGCAGCTATTAATGCTCTCACTACAGATGGAGTGGTCGACCTTGGGGAAGGAATCCCAATGAAGACACGGAAGACGATGCTGGACCTCTCACCATCTCTAAGTCTTAAGGTGGAACCTGGAGGTGAGGAGCTTGGTCCTGAAGGAGAGCCTCGAAATGAAGACTACTCCTCCCGCCTTACCCTTAAGAAGGAAAATTACGGTGGAGGCTTCCTGGATGTGCCCCAGCATCCATACTCCTGGCCTAAACATAAGCCATACCTCAGGTGAGCTATTACTGCTTTTAAAAGCCTATCTCCATTAAAATAAAAAAATAAAAAACATTTTCTGTTCCTTCACACTCCTGATATGGGTTGTAGGTTGGTTAAATCTTGTAATTCCTCTCATCTAACAAGAGTCGTGTTTAAAATGCATTTAGTCCTAACATGGGGTGTAACGCAATCTATTGCCAAAAAGATTTCATGATATTAAAACTATATCTGTCACTGATTGACTTCATACAAAGAATCAACGATAGATTATTCTTTAATGTCATGATTTAGTAACACGCTGTTTTATCTAGTATGCTTAAGAGTTTTTCTTTCTTTTGTTAAGAAAAAAGAAAGAATCTCTTCAGATGTAAATGGGGTCTGCTAATTCTTAGACTTTATAAACTGTAAAGCAACACATTAAAATTATTTTGAAAAATACCTCTATTATATCCTCCATTCTATGATATAAACCCATAATGAAACCACTTTGAACATACAAGAAGATTATAGTTAGACAAGCATTAATATCACAAGATATTGCAAACTCAAATTATGACTGGAATATTCCACAATGTTTAGTTTGTTCAAATAAGATTATGAACTGTAAAAAATATTGAAGTTAAAAAAAAGATCCAACTTTAATAATGCAGAATGTGTTGCCCCTTCCTATTCCACATAATATTTATTACTGAATTTGCAATCTTTCCAAGAGGAAGAAAGCCCACTATACAGCTCTCACAGCTCATTGTGAAAAAATATCTTTGGTAGGTTTGTTAAAAGCAACAAAGTTGCATAAAGCAGTCACCTTTGCAAAGTTTAAGCATGTAAAAAGAATGTGCAAGACATCACTCTATAAACCCCCATTGTCTTTTTTAAATGCAGTGTCACCAATGCATAACTTCAGTAGAGCATCTCAACCCAACCTACTTCAAAACTTTCTTTAGAAGTTCACACTTCTACTACCTTAAACAAGCTTATGATCTTTAGCTCTAATCCTTTCAACAGCTTTTTACTGAGCACACACTTCACCAACCACAACCTGACTCATTTATTGTATTTTTGCATCTATATTAAGTTCTGTTTATTTTTCTTGGATGACAAGATTGTTTCGGTTTTTAATCTTCAAAGGCAGTTTCAAAAGGCAGAGAAACAAAGATACATACTCCTCAATTCCAAATAAGCTCCCTTTGAAGATCAGAACTATTTCATCAATCATATTTTGTGCAGAGGACCTGCTTTCCATGTGTATGCAGTTGTTGCTATAACAACTGACACAAACATATTGTGTGGACACACATCCAAACAAACACTGAAGGTGAGCTTTTGTGTTTCTTCTTTCTTCCCTCCTTTGTGACATGTCTTTCTTTGCCAATAACACACTTTCCTGTCGGAAATCAAGTGTTTGATTAAGATAGTGAGTAACAGGAAGTAACGGTGACAGGCTGAGCTGAAGGGGAAGCAGTCTGGGAGTTAATCAGCTGGCTCGTCGTGCTGGTCTGTCGCGCCATTAGACCATCTTTTTACCATGCAGCTATCATGATGTCATGCACCGACTGGGCAGATAAAGCCCTGTGGGGGGAAATCAGATTGTTTTGGGTCAACAAACAGCCTGCAAGTTCCACAAAGATGCCAGAGATTGGTTTCAGTCAACCCACCCCTCGGGTCAGGGGTTTGCGTTTAGCAGGCATCCGGCACAGAGAAATATTGTCCTGCACATGTTTGTTTTGGTTTAGATATCTCTACAGTTTTCACATGGGAATCTGTGACTCTCCATCTGGAGAACAATGATGTTGAGGGATGCCAGCTGCAGCTCGGAGAAAGAGATATCACACTCTAAGATGGGTTGCACTTCATGCTCTGGTTTCTTTAGAACTGATAGGGTTTTGTTGTAGAATCTCAGTGTTATTCCATCCCGATAAAGCATTCACTAAGTTCCAGACAGTATGAGGTTTTTTGCGTTCCCCTGACATATCTTTCCTTCCACTGTCACTTTCTTAATTCATTGTGGCTGTTTCCACTTGTAATGCTCTAATGTAAAACACAGCTCTCAAACTAGAGCACATTTGCTTTTCATTTGCTTTTACATAAAGACACAACATATGATTAACCATTCCTTAAGAGTTATCCAGGTCTAGCTAATGTTGATTAGACTTAGTGCTATTAAGAAATGCATAGACATCAAGCCAGTTGGATTACCTTAAAGCGGCTCAATTTGTGGCTAATTTAAAGCAAACCTGGAAGCTGCAGATACAGTGAGGAAACAGTGAAGCATGCAGTATGCATACATGGTTGCAAAATTATGTTACATTTGAAATGAAAGACACAAAAGATGCATAAATGTAAAGAAACTTAATCTAAAGTGACTTGAACTCTATAGCAATCAAAATGTTTTGCTCTTTCAGCCCTTCTCTGCCGGCTCTTGACTGGCAGTTGCCGTCCTGCTCTGGTCCGTATAACCTGCAGATTGAGGTGCAGCCAAAATCCCACCATAGGGCACATTATGAGACGGAGGGAAGCCGGGGAGCTGTGAAGGCACTGTCTGGGGGACATCCTGTAGTTCAGGTAAGTCAATCTGTGGATAGATAGGAAGCTGTTGTCTTCAAAATTATATCTTTGTTCATAAAAAAAAAAAAAAAAAAAAAAAAAAAACACAGTTTAGTGATGCACTGTAGCATAAAAATCAGGTGTGTTTTTTTAGATTACTATTTTGGTATATCCAATGGCAGTAACATGTTATTTTAACTGTACTGTTTCCATCCCTTTCTGTCTGGGTTTCATCACATATATTGAATAGAATAGAATAGAATAGAATAGAATAGAATAGAATAGAATAGAATAGAATAGAATAGAATAGAATAGAATAGAATAGAATAGAATAGAAATACCCACATTGTACCACACTGGGGACATTATAGTGTAATGGGGGTACCTTCATTTTTTGCAAATAGATCCTGCACCTGATTTAAGAATTTGCCTATTTCATTGCAAAACTGTTTCCTGAATAAAATTGTGCCCTTACTGTCATGATGCTGCAACACCAATAAGGGTGTGCTTAAGAATTTGAGAATTACTGACCTGGACTAAATTGGGCCTCTATGAAAGCACATTGGATAAAAATAATAATAATTATTATTATTTTTAAAAATCAACTTTTTTTTGTCATAATTATGAGACAGCTAGGTATTTTTAAGGACATTTTATTTCATAAGCATGATTTATTTACCGTATCATAATGACAGAAAAATTTCAAAGAGGCCCAATTTATTCCAGGTCATGTATGCTTATAGCTTGTTATTCCCAAAGCTTGTTCTCAAAAGTACATTCATAATGTCATAATCTTAATATTATGGGATAGCTAAGTCATAATTATGAGATATTATCTCATAATTACAAGGTAGCTTAGTCAAATTATATGATACCAGTTGTTCTTTCCTTTGAGTGGCAGAAATGAGCTTTCTTAGAGTTCCACCTCTTAAGACAACTCTACTTTTATAAAGCATTCCTTGCTTTTTTTTTTTTCTCAGACTTTGTTGTATAAACCTTTCAACTATTTACACAGACAAATTGGGTACTTATCTCTACAGAATGGTCGGCTGAACAGTAAATAGATGTAGGAGTGCTCCACCCATCATTGTCTTGCAGATAATTCAGTTAGAGTAACAAAAAGTTAAACCAATGTAAAAATAATAAATGAGCATTAGTTAAAACCACAACAATATTTGTGCTTTATTTTTTCCTTTCATTTGGGCATGTTTGGCTGCATCATTTGGCAGCGAGTGTTAATATTAATATCAAGATGGTCACAAATATCTAAAATTAATATGAATGTCTGTAGAAAGTCCTATAGTGAAGTATTAATAAAGTACAGATGATGAAGTTAGTGTCACTCCAAGGTTGAGCAAACAGTGGAGTAAACCCAGAGGCTTTAATTAGGCTTTGAGATTTTCCCTTTTCTACATTTATATTTCCTGCTTTGCTGTTTATGAGAACAGAGATATGTGCTAGGCTTAGCCTGTCCCAGACCAGCAACACAATTTCATCCTTTGGGACAAGCTGGTCTGAATTTATACTAAATATTTAACATGAGATAGATATCTACATTCTCCATTACCTTTTAAGAGAACCTCAGTTTGAAAGTATGAAATATACTCATAAATCTGTAAAAATCTGAAGTTCTTTCATATTTAAATAAAAAAATGTTCATGCGCACAACACCAACATGATATTTATAGTAAAAATCCCATTCATTACAGCTTGTCCACCCTGTTAACTACCAGAAAAGGCCTTTCTTGTGACTTCTGACATTAACACAGTGCGTACAAACTAGGCTTTACATTTCACCATATGCCTGTTTACTGTGTTATTAATGCTCCCTGAAGCTCAGAGTCAATACACTGTAATCCTGTAAAAGGTCACTTTGACCAGTTGCAGTGCATGCTGACTCAATTAGTATAGAGAAGAACCATCACCTCTCACTATTGTACTTGGCAAACTCTAAAAGAGCACACGTCAGTCTCGCCAACAACGCTGCACAGAACTCCTTTCTATGTTGCGCTGTCATCACACTGGGCTCAGATCTCGGTTTACACAAGGTGGGAATTTAGTGCTTTTTTCATATGCCTACAGCTGAGGATAAATGTGGCTGTCAAACTGTTCATTTAAAGCAAAGCTGACTTATTGCATTCTTTACTGGTTTATTAAACAAAAAAAAAAGCTTAATGCAGCATAGCTCCATTTCTTGAACAAGAGGTATTTTCCCCAGTGCAAATTAATCTTACTGGTCCATCAGTGTCACACTCTTAGCACTGTGCAAGTACTGTCCTGGAGCAGTTTTGTAAATAGATGTTGTCAGCACATCCTGGTCTACATGATGTCAAATGCACTCGACAGTCGTAGGCCAGCACAGTGTTTTAAACAAGCCTGTCAAACCTGCAGGTTTTCTCTATAAATACAGTTCATTACTCCACTTCATTATTGTACATCAACATGCATGAATCAACATTTCACCCCAGCACCTCCCCGTGGCACCGGGAGAGGCTGATCACAGTAAGCCTGCCATACACTGCTGCTGCAGGTGTGACCGGCATTAATTTAGCTTACTGTCTGACTAACTCTTCAAAAAACAGAGTAAAAACACATTAGTTAATCATAAGAACTGTCTACAAGTAGCATGCTCTCATTTCAGAATTTGAGTGTGTATTATTGGGATTTAAAGTGAAAGACCTAGACAATGCTTGACGATTGAAATGTGAAAGGTTTCAAGGTTGGATTCAAGTCTGCTCTAAGTCAATCCATAATAAAACCACTTTGTAGCATGGGGTTCCATTTCTTGGGGCATTTTTAAACCAGCCTCTTAGATATAAAAAGTAAAAAAATAAACTTTTCAAAATAGCCTAAGCAAAGTCACATTGGATGAAGAATATACTGAAGGTGAAGATTAGTTTTCAGATCTGTCAAAAGGTAGTAATTTGGTTAAGGTCTGAACTTTGAACAGTAATGGGTGTATCCTGATCTAAACCATTCCTTAAACCGTTTTGACTTATCATTTGGTCATGCTCCTGAAAAGTGAACCTTAGCCCTAGTTTTAAGTGGAGTAGCAGATGTTTCCTACAAGGATCTCCTTGTATGTAGCACCATCAATTCATACTAATTTTCCTGTTAAATATGTTTTTTCAATATAACTTTTAAATTAAAATTATTATTAGTAGCATTTGCATCTTACACTTTGTGAACATACTTTGTCCTCCTCATGACTAGCAACAAACTTTATGCAAGACTTTGTATAGCTTTCTTTTGACAGATTTTATTTTTTAACCTGACCAATAGATGTTATAAAACACATACATACAAGCCAGTGGTTGTAACTAGTTAACATGTGAAAAAGAACCAATTTAGGCGTGTAAATGTTTAAAAAAATGCTGTGGAAATACTACTAGTTTTGTCCCAAAAAAAAGGTAAAATTTTAGAGTTTAAGTTGGGGTCAGTCCAGGTGCTTCTAAAGCTATAGCACACAAATTAAAGTGCTTCTTTTCTCTCATATCTTTTCACATAGATTGCAGACTTCTTGGAAAGTGAAGATTTATGCCTGTGATTTATAATGCTGTGCCGTCAGCTGGGGTATCTTGAGGGTTTTATAACTTTAGAAACCCCTCCAAGCAAGGCAGTGTGAAGAAAAATATATCTAAAGAGATGAGCCAATCATGTGTTTGAGCTCAATTTATGATACACTATATTGCCAAAAGTATTTGCTCACCTGCCTTGACTCACATATGAGCTTAAGTGACATCCCGTTCCTAATCCATAGGGTTCAATATGACGTCGGTCCACCCTTTGCAGCTAGAACAGCTTCAACTCTTCTGGGAAGGCTGTCCACAAGGTTTAGGAGTGTGTTTATGGGAATTTTTGACCATTCTTCCAGAAGCGCATTTGTGAGGTTGCACACTGATGTTGGACGAGAAGGCCTGGCTCTCAGTCTCCGCTCTAATTCATCCCAAAGGTGTTCTATCGGGTTGAGGTCAGGACTCTGTGCAGGCCAGTCAAGTTCATCCACACCAGACTCTGTCATCCATGTCTTTATGGACCTTGCTTTGTGCACTGGTGCACAGTCATGTTGGAAGAGGAAGGGGCCAGCTCCAAACTGTTCCCACAAAGTTGGGAGCATGGAATTGTCCAAAATGTCTTGGGATGCTGAAGCATTCAGAGTTCCTTTCACTGGAACTAAGGGGCCAAGCCCAGCTCCTGAAAAACAACCCCACACCATAATCCCCCCTCCAACAAACTTTACACTTGGCACAATGCAGTCAGACAAGTACCGTTCTCCTGGCAACCGCCAAACCCAGACCCGTCCATCAGATTGCCAGATGGAGAAGCGCGATACGTCACTCCAGAGAACGCGTCTCCACTGCTCTAGAGTCCAGTGGCGGCGTGCTTTACACCACCGCATCCGACGCTTTGCATTGCACTTGGTGATGTATGGCTTGGATGCAGCTGCTCGACCATGGAAACCCATTCCATGAAGCTCTCTGCGCACTGTTCTTGAGCTAATCTGAAGGCCACATGAAGTTTGGAGGTCTGTAGTGATTGACTCTGCAGAAAGTTGGCGACCTCTTCGCACTATGCGCGTCAGCATCCGCTGACCCCGCTCCGTCAGTTTACGTGGCCTACCACTTCGTGGCTGAGTTGCTGTCGTTCCCAAACACTTCCATTTTCTTATAATACAGCTGACAGTTGACTGTGGAATATTTAGGAGCGAGGAAATTTCACGACTGGATTTGTTGCACAGGTGGCATCCTATCACAGTTCCACGCTGGAATTCACTGAGCTCCTGAGAGCGACCCATTCTTTCACAAATGTTTGTAAAAACAGTCTGCATGCCTAGGTGCTTGAATTTATACACCTGTGGCCATGGAAGTGATTGGAACACCTGATTCCAATAATTTGGATGGGTGAGCAAATACTTTTGGCAATATAGTGTATCTCGAAAAACATTTTTGGTACCTCAAGGTTTTTCTGCAGAGTCCAAGATACAAAATTTCTCTTAAATCTTATTCAGATGCTTGTTA